TCCAAAGAAATACAAATCCAGGATTTGTATTTCATTGAATGAAGGATTCAGTGCATAGGAGAACATTTGCTTCATAAACTGCTAAGCTAAATATAATTATGTCTCATGGAAAATCCCATCGACGCATGAATAATCTCATTTGAAATTTGAGAAAACGTTTAGCACGGAGCTCCCCTTCTCTCCCTCCTGCCAAGTTGAATTCATCAGCTTGTTATTTCTTGTCCAGCACGGCTCACGATTGTTCATTCATGATTCTTCCACAACAAAATAGAAGCAAAAATTCATACTGTAGAGCGATTGCGTGCCAGGGAGCCAGAGAAGCAGCTCTGCAGTGTTTACAAACATGACTCAAGGGTATGAGCAACACCGTGATGTATGGAGGAAGAGGAAAAGGGAACTTCGTGATGTAAAAGCCAGGCTATTTTTAGAGATGAGGTGGGGCTGGAACCACCTTTCCCTTTCCTTATATGATCCTGATGAGAGGAAGACAAAAACCTGGTGACTGTTAAGGCGGTGATTACGGGATGGAAAAACTCTCCTGACCGCCGTCTCATTTCTCTCTGCAAAGACTGAGAAAGGACGACACAGACGATGAGTAAAGCATCCTCGTCTGAAAAAAAAAAAAAAAGTACTTTGGAAGAAGGTAGTGAGCAAAAAACCATGCCATTTCACGGCCGGAACTGTGTTCTGTTCTAACTTACCCATTTTGGTTGCTGGCTGGGACCTCAGAGGCTTCTCACTTCTGCAGACTCACTTATGGTAAATCTACACAGTATTAACTAAAGGATTTTTTTGTAGACATAAAAGTTTCACAGTATCCCTCAAAGAGTTACTTTCTAAATGCCCGTACTTAGCACTGAATACCAAAGCATGACAAAAAGTCTTAAAGGAGAGGAAAAGCTGTCTGACTGATACAGAAATATATTCAGACCACAGTGTTAATGGCATAGCTATGTATGAGATTTCATTAATTTATATATGAATATGTGTTTTAAATACATGAAAAAACAGAGGTATCTACCTAGTAAACTGGCTTTTAATTAGAGGAAATGAGGGGTTTTTTTGTGTCTCTGTGCAAATCTAAGATATATGCTTTTTAATGCTAAGATATTTCTTATCTTTTAGAACCTATTTTTTTTAAGACTGGGGACTGGACTGACACATAATCAGAATCTTCATAATTTACTGAAGTAATTAATATAAGATACAACAGATAGAAATTATAATTTAGGGGGCTGGCAGATGGTACAGTGATTGGGGGCGCTGGACTCCCACACGCTGGGCTCGCACATGGTTAACTGCAGTTCGAGTCCCAGACCTGGCGACTTCCTTTCTAACTTTCTCTCTCTTTCTTTCTCTGTATCTCACTCTGTCTCTTTTTGGTCAAATTAAAATAAAGTTAAATAAAATAATTCTTTTAAAAAAAGAAACAATTTAGGATTCATTTTCCTGTGGGATTTTTTCTTTTTTCTTCGTCATTAAGCAGAGGGCATAGGAACTTACTGAAGAAGGGGCAGAGAGTGAGAATGCACCCCACCCCCTATGGGTG